TGAATGACCCCCAACTGCACTGCCGTGAAATTCCTGTAATAAGTGAGGAATATGTACTGATGTTCGTGGCATCACAAACCTCACTTATTGTAACAACCTCTCTCCCTCTAGATAGTACCTCGAATGGCTACTACTATCCTTCATCAAATCTTCCCTGATCTTCTTCAACTCTTCGTTATGCATGCTTTCTTTCTTGATGGATCCAAGTTAACCATCAGTGGTACTGAACTGCCAACTCCTGAAGTTCCCCAACATATCTAGATAAGGCGTCAGCCACCTTATTTTCCACCCTCGATCGATACTGGATTTCAAAATCATAGCCTAAAAGCTTTGACAGCCACCTCTGATGTTCCTCGGTCATCATCCTTTGCTCCAACATGTATTTCAAACTCCTCTGATCCTTACGAACAATGAAATGCCTACACAAAAGGTAAGGGCGCCATTTCTGAATGGCCAAGACTATGGCCATCAGCTCTCTCTCATATACTGACTTCAATCGAGTCCTGGTCGATAGCACCTGACTAAAATAGGTTATAGGCCTGTGATTCTGCATCAACATTGCTCCCAAGTCATACCCTGACGCATCGGTCTCCACTATAAAGATCTGGCAGAAATCCGTAAGAGCTAATACTAGGACTGTCGTCATGGCTTTCTTCAACCTCTCAAAAGCCTAGGTTGCTACCTCTCCTCACAAAAAAATTGTCCTTCTTCAATTGCTCAGTCAACGACCAAGCGATGGTACTATAACCCCTCACAAACTTCATGTAGTAGCTAGTCAATCCTAGGAAACCCCTCAACTCCCTTATGTTCCTAGGCTTTGGCCATTTCTGCATTGCATCAATCTTTGACTGATTGACCACCACTCCCTCTTGAGACACTACATGTCCCAAATACTCCACCCTAAATTGGGCGAAGTTGTACTTCTTTAGGTTAGCCTTAGCTGATGTGCCTGTAGAATCTTAAGAACCTCTTTCAAGTGCTCCAAATGCTCCTCTGTTTGGCTGTATACCAAAATGTCATAAAAAAGAACAGCACAAACTTCCGGAGATGCTGTCAGAACACCTTATTCATCAAAGACTGAAAAGTAGCAAGGGCGTTAGTGAGCCCAAATGGCATCACCAAGAACTCATAGTGCCCCTCGTGCGTTCTGAAAGCCGTCTTTTGAATATCCTCCTCCTCCATTCTGATTTGGTGGTAGCCCGAGTTCAGGTCTATCTTAGAAAATACTTCTCCATGCAGCTCATCTAATAACTCGTCGATCACCAGAATGGGGAATTTATCTGGTACTGTCTCTTTGTTTAAAGCCCTATAATCCACGCAAAACCTCCAGCTCTCATCCTTCTTTTTGACTAGTAAGACTGAACTAAAGAAAGGACTCACACTTGGTCTGACGATCCCTGCCTCCAATATCTTTCTAATTAGCTTCTAAATTTCATCCTTCTAAATCTGGGGGTAGTGGTAAGGTCAAACACTAATCGATGACACCCAATCCTTCAGAAGGATTGCATGCTCCTGCTCTCTGAGTGGTGGTAAGCCCTGAGGTGGCTGGAACACCTCCTTGAACTGTTGTATGAGTGGTTGCACCACCAGTGGAATGTCTCTCTCTTCCCCCACACTGACCCTCTCCAAGCGTTGCAGCTCCACCAAATACCCGCCTCCCACCTCCTAAATGGATATGATTATGTATTTGAGAGATACTCCTGCCCTAGACAGCCCTGCATCATCCTGGATCACCATCCTCTATCCTTCTATCATCAGTTCCATCCTAAGAGCACCCCAGTTGACCTTGTTCTCCCCCAAAGTCTACAGTCATTTCATCCCCATTATGACATCGGTACTTCCCAACTCTAAGGGATGAAAATATTCTCTCACCTATATTCCTTGAATGGTCAACATCACTCCCCTGCAAACTCTTCTCCCCATCTCTACCTTCCCCGTACCCATCATCACTCCATATCCTCTCATGTCCACTAATTTCACCCCCCAACAAATTTACGATCTGGTAGAGATGATATTGTGGGTGGCCCCACTATCGATCATCACCACTACCTCATGATCCCCTATTTCTCCCCTCACCTTCATGATGTGATTTGGTGTGAATTGGTGTGAATCCCACCACAGAGTTTAGAGAGACTTTAGCTACGTCCAGATGTAACTTCTCTTCCTCTTCCTCCACTATCCCGCTCTCACTTCCCTCCTCAGTTTCCTTGTAATCGCAGACGGAGAGAACCTGAAGAGTTCGGTCCTAACACCTATGCCATGGCATGTACTTCTCATCGCACCTGAAACACAACCCCTTAGCCTGCTTCTCCTGGATCTCCTTCTCAGTCAGGTTCTTAAAATTTCCTTCAGACCCCCACCTCCATTCCTCTCCTTTGGTGCTTCGCATGAACCTCCGAGTGCAACTCCTTTGGGAGTTAGAAAAGTAGTCATCTTGTAGAACCCCCAGAGCTACTGCCTTGAGCCCCCCTCTCCAGATGCTTCTGGTACTCAACCAGCTGCGCCAACTCCATGGCCTCCCCTAAGTCGCACTTCCCCTAAGTCGCACGGTCTCATCACTTTAACGACTGCTCTGATCTCCGGTTTGAGCCCTTTCATGAAGTTCCCCTCCAACATTGTCTCAGAAAGTCGATCTAGCTTGCTCGCTAAATACTCAAACCGGTCACGGTACTCTGCCACTGTCCCCTCCTGTGTCAGGGCAAAGAACTATTCATAGAAATCTCCTCCCCTTCTAATTCGGAAACGTTCTAGTAGACAATCTTTGAACTCTCTCCAACTTCGAATGGGCCGCCTCATGTCCCATCATTGGTACCACGCCAATGCCTTCCCTTCCAAACACAGTCCTTCCGCTATCAATTTCTCATCCTCTGTCAACCCATTGACTGCAAAGTACTGCTCGACCTTGTAAATCCAGCCATGTGCATCCTCGCCCTCAAAGATGGGCATCTTCAATTTCCTCACCCTCGGGTCACCCCCGTTTCCCCTAACTCCTCCATAACCTCCCACTCCTTGAGGAGGAAAAGCTCCTCAGTGGTCAGGATCTTCCCTCCGACGATCATACCCAAACCCTTCCTTATATTCCTCTCTTCTTCTTTCATCTTCAGCACCCCGATGGTAAAATTCATCCCTTCTCCCCAAAAATTCAGCACCCCTCCTTTCATAGCCCATGCTCATCTCCTCTCTAGAATGTGGTTCTAGCAAAGACATTCCATAATTCCCTTCAAGGATCTCCACTTCCGGATTCTCCCTCCCCCTAAATGGGTTCAAATTCTCGCATCTCCCATTGTCGCTGGTGGTTTCCCTTGCTTTCGATGTCGTCGGATTTTATTTGCCCTCAAGCATCTTCTTCATCATATCTTCCAAGGCGGTGAACCTCCCATCCATCTTTTCATGGATGGAAGCGAATTGGTTTTGAAAATCAACGGTTCTTTCCTCAAAATCAGTCTTCAGTTCGCCTATTTCTCCCTCCAATACTTTTATTTTCCTTCCTGCCATCTTCCTTCCCAAGGATTCCGAGAAGATTTCTTGCGGATGAAAATTCCTTGCTGAAATTTATGAATTTCATCCGTCAATGGTCCCAAGACAACACTATAATACCAATTTGATAGTAAATACTTGAGTTCGCAAGTAATCCTAAGGAAATACTTGAGTTTGCAAGCAAACCTAATTGAAATTGGTGAGAAAACAGTACACAAACTGTTGTTTACAGCAGAAAATCAGCAACGCACAGCGGATTTCTTGGGAAAAACAGTAGAAAACTGGGAGAAAATGAAGGATTCCACTAGTAGATGCAGGAAAACAACAAAAGATGCACGTTTCTTTAATTCAAGAGGAAGAATTACGATCTTTCAGACCTTTGTCACCCGCCGACTACTGTCCTTATGATCACCATCACCCAACTACAGTCTTTTCGACTTTCGTTGTTCGCTGACTACGATCATTCCTACCACTGTCAACCGACTACGGTCTTCCCGACCTTCGTCGCTCTGCTACGGTCATTGCGACCATCGTTGCTCGACTACAATCCTTCCGACCTACATTGTTTACCGACTATAGTCCTGCTGACCAAACAAATATATCAATACTGATTCTTCTAACTCCCGCTATATAATGCACTCTATATAATATATATTTGCTCAATCTAGTCAAAGCCTTCCCCCAAGAAAGGGTCTCATTTGTAATCAACTGTAAACACTAATGAATTCATTTAAACTGGGCAAGACCCCGTAATTTTTCTCCCTTTTCAGAGGTTTCCACGTAAAAACTCTAATGCCTCTTATGAATGTTATACCACTATCTTTTATCTGTCTATGTACTGGATTTTCGTACAAAATTAGGACGCTAAATTATATCTCTCTACTGCCGCAAATATTTCTTAGTTTATATATATACAATAATCATTTATATTCAAAAATCACTTAAATATGTTTCAAATCTTTTTCGAACCGAGGTTCGAACCGAGGTTCAGTTCATCATTCTAGCCAAGTTTGCGGGAGAAAAACATCTATGAGAACAATGAAATGTGAAAGAGACGAGAAGTTTATGACCTTTCTTTTGAACAACGGAAGCCTAAATATGTCATATGTCAAATCCAAACTCAAACAACTATCCACTAGAATACTAATGGCTCTTATAAGGCCACTTTTTTCTTTCAACTCACAGATCAAGGCTTGGGCCTCAAGAATAAAATGGGAGGTAAGATCTCCATGAGAAAAATAGAAAGAAAACAACTGAATACGAAAAATTCAGAATCTTCTCTTACAACAGGTATGTCCAACTGGAGGTAAGATCCCCATGATAAAATGTCATAGAGATCAGAGATGCAATATACAGCATATAATGAAATAGTAATCTTCTAAAGTTCTTTCATCACTCTGACATGGAGAAAATTCATCTATGAAACTGACCTTTTGTCACAGGACTGATGAAAAGTTAATATAACAAAAAACAATATTTATTGATGAAAACTGTAAAAGCAGTGGGAGAAGATTCCATTTGACCTTGCTAATTTTGGAGGAAAACATTAGTTTGGAGAGGGGTTACAACCAGAGACAAGGATGAGACCATGATCCATGCTGTTTTAGCAATTCTTTGATAGCTTTCACAAAGAAATGAAGCCATGGCAAACAAAGCTCTTCTTTACAGACAAAATTCATGAGCACATCCGCCCGTATATGACTAGAATTCTATGGAAGCTTGAATACACTGACAAAGAAACTCTGCCAATAATATTAGTGTACAACACCTAAAATTGTAAATGATGTCTCACTGCATTGCTTTGTATAAAGAAAAATCACTCCTGCCTATGCTTGAAATCATTTATGAATTAGTATACTGCAGTTTGAAACTAATTATTCAGAAGCTGAGTCAGTAGAAAGTTTCTAAAGATCATTTAGATCAATCATCATCTCATTTTTCCAGCGATTCTCATTGGTATCTGTCTTGGATAATGAACAAAGGTCTTCCACAGTCTCAGCCAATGCAATTTCCAATGAATCAGCTAAGTCTCCCTCCCAAAGGCCCAACCTGCAGACCTTCTTGTAGGCTTCATATCCTGCTGCCCTCAACCCTTCCACAACCATGTCTCTTAAAACACCTGAAACAGTGTCAACTGAATGCATGTCTTTAAGTAATGTCTCAGCAGAGCCTAACGTCTCAAAAACAATAACAGCGCAGGTCTTATCAACGAAGCGAACATCAAAATCTTCTACGAACACTGGATGAATTTGCAAGAGACAATGTTTTAGCTCTACAGCAGAAGTTGCACCACCAAAGCCCCATAAGAAGAGTATTTTATCTGTGCTTACTCTCCTGGTACTATCAATCTGCCAACCAGTCTCGTCATCATCACCAGGTTCATGAAGTGTTAGGGATGCTGGATTGAAAATATTTGCATAATCTTCAATCGGTTTGGCTTGCTCGAGTGCAGATCGGCTCGAAGGAGCATTCTTTAACAACATATTCAGCTTAGCAAACAAAAATACTAACTTAAGAACATTGTTTCCATGGCTCTTGTTCCCATCTTCAGCTTGTTCAGGAACTTCGAGTTCTATTGGCACAAAATAATGCCTTTTTAAGTAACTCAGGGCACTAGGAATATTTTTTGCTTTCCTTAAAGGTCCAAACTCCTTCAATAAATGATTAAGATCAACCACATTGGAGAATAGCAACCTCAACGAGCACATGAATTCTGCCACCGTTTCAGGTAACGGACCGAGAAACTTTTCATGAATGAAGGTAAAATCATGGAGGCAGTTGTGGGAAACAATTGTTTTGTGAGAACTTGAGATTAAATCAATGACTTGCCGGAATCCCCGGAATTTGAGATTCTGCTCATCTTCAAAACTCTGAAGTTCAGTCAAGAGAACCATCTTATCCTCTTCTGAGCTTGTTAACACAACACGCACTGCCTTGGGCTGTACTCCATTATCAGGGATAAGAATAGGAACTAGGTCATCAGAGATCTGTTCCACAATCTCAAAAACCAACTGAGCCTGCTTTTCACTGCAGATATCTACACTCATACCTGGCCTTGAACCATAAAATTCCCCACCTAATACGAGTTTCCTCAGAGATTGAACAAGAGATCCATCTTTTGCTTGGCTAGTATCTTTACATGCTTTCCTCCAGTGGGTAACCCGCGACTTGATTCTTTCCTTGAAAATTGAATCGGCAACAGAAGGATTTTGTGAAGAAGTAACTGTAAGCATCCATGATCCAGACTTTCTCTCTCTAGCTTTGGTTTCTTCTACTCTAGATAAGTAGGATAAGCCATCATAAATGCAAGCATTGAAATCAAAACCCTCGCGAGCCATGGAAGCAAGGAATGATGTTTGACAAGCAAAGCTATAAGAAGGCATGCCTAAGGTGAGTTCATCTCTGGGAAAGAGATGAAAGTTATATGGGATAGCAACGACCTTTGAACCGCGGATCGAGAAGGGGCAGACGGCGAACTGGAAGAGCTCGAATGTTTCGGCGGCAAGCTTCGATTTGAGGTAGGCTGTCTCGGAAGTGTCAATGGGGAGAACCCGACGCCATGGATGGCGGAGAGAAGAAGAGGAGAAGTCTCCGGTCTTGCGGGTGGAGATGGCGACGAATTCGGCGGCTTCGATGTCGGCTTTGATTTGCTGGATTGCGGCGGCGAAGTTCGATTTAGTTACTTGCTTCACCGGCACGCCTGCGAAACGTCCCTTCCCGATGGCGACAGCCGCCATCAACCGCCCGCCTTTTTGAGATTATAGCTGACCTGCTCGTCTCGCTGGTTCCGCAACCCAAGCAGGAAATGTGAAGTGTTTTTTATTTTTTCTTTTTGTTTTTTTGGATTTAAAGCCCGGCTGCAAAATTTTTATATTCATTTTCATAATACTCAATTTTTAAATCATTTTAAATATATTAGTAATATTAAATTATTTTAGGAGCTTATATTTTTATAAGGAAGATTTACATACATAGCACTTTATTTCATGCTATTTACATATCTAACACCCTAAGTATTAATATTACATATCTACCATCCATAGAACAAATATGAGTGCATGTAATGAAATATTAAAATTTATGGGATGATATGATTGATAGAAATGAAATAAAGAAGTGTATATTTGATATTAAAATTGTATATGAGTGGTAGTCATGTAATATTAATATTTTAGGTGGTAGATATATAAATAGTATAAAATAAAATAGTATGTATGTAAATCCCCTTTTTATAAACATCAATTTAAATAATCAGTTAATACTTTCTTTTGAATTTAGAGTTATATATATATAAATAGAGAGATAAATTTGACTGTTTATGTTTGGCATTTATTTCTTAGAGAGATGAGAGATACATTGGAAAGTTCCTTTTTAGACAAAAATCACATACTGTAGGAGTTCATGGGTCGAGCATTGCCAACGATGAATCTGATATGCATCCAAATTCTTTCTTCTTTTGGTTTTATTTTTTTTTTTTTTTGGTTCAACCTCAGCCAAATAAACCAAGTTGTCCAGGAGTATGGAACTATACTATTCCAGCGCTGTAATAGCCTACTGGATAGAGCAAATTGTTTCTCAAATATGCTTTAAAGTTTATTACTCATTATTATAAAAAAAGGTACTTATGGCCAATTAATATCATGTGTATTGATAGTTCATATTACATACTGCATGCAAACACAGGCAACAGCCAAAAAGAAAAATAAAAATAAAAAATCAAAGAATGGTGCTGCAGTTGGCATGGCTGCTCCCTTCACTCAAAGATTGCAGCCGCAAAACTTATTATAATGTAAATGCAATGCAATACTGGACAATAAAATCTTCGTCTCATTCTTGATTGCCTCACCTCTGCTTTTTGCCACCAGCGAGGATACGAGAGATCTGAAGCCCACGGCTGAAAGCCTGGTTGAAGAGCAATCTCGTCTGGAACTCGGAAACAAATGGGAACCATGCCAGGACTGCAACAGGTGTAAATATCACAAGCCCCATCATATACTCATACCCACGACCAAGAGCCTTCACCGAACCCCAAAGTCCAAATGCCTTCACCGCTGGCTTCAATGCTTGTGATATCTGATCCAACAACACTAAGCTTTGTAAAATTCTAATATATCTTTCCAAAAAAGGCTTAAAAATATCTCACCTGGAGGATGGCCCAGCCTGTTGGCATGAATGCAAGGAAGCTGACCACAATGTCTGTGACTGTCAGATTGAGGAGGGTGAAGAGGATGCAGACAGTTCCAATGCAACCGAGGAAGAGAAATAGTTTCAGGAGTCTGAACATCAGTTGGAAGTCGGCACTAAACTTCTTCCGGCCCATGGAGACCACCTGTAGCAATCAGCACGGATTTAACAGCTGTATGTATAGAAGCCATGGAGAAGAATCTTAAGCAACAAATTTACCTTCAAGATGAGCATCACAGCAACAATCACCAACCACGAAAGGGCGTAAACCTGTAATGAAGGAGAAAATATAAGGCTTGGATTGTGGAAAAAATAATAACATGATGATAGCAGGAGAGGTTCCAGAAAGAATTGGTGATTTGAAAGGTTTGGGGTGGTTTAAGGACGTACAATGAGGCTTTTGCTGCTGTTGGAGACATGAAGATGATACACAATGCCATACTGGAAGACAAAGAATCGGAGTGAAAGGAAGATCTCCCAGAGGCGCCCAAGTATTCCGGTTGAACTCAAGTGTTCCTGCTCTTCTTCCCACCATGATTCCCAGCTCTTGTTGGCAGGGACGCCAATCCCTCCACGGCTATTTATCCACTTGCTCCAATCATCCCAGTCATCAACTATTTTTTGCCACTCAAAGCCGGAAGGGTTGAAAAGAAATGGCGCAAAAAGCCAGGTGGCAACAAGGAACCACATGGATATAGTGAGAAGTATAAAGGCTATTGAATCAGTAGTTGCAGATCCATAGATCTGATAAACAATTAGCAGCAGCATAAGTTCCAGACCCTTTGTAAAATGACTTCTTGAGTACATCCTGTAGTTCTCTGCAAACTTTACATGTCGCACGACGAATCCTCGTCCAGTAGCTCTATATTTTGCTCCGCCATGGAGGATTGTCCGCCCAAAGTAATGAGATTTTGTTCCAAGCGAGAATGTAAAGAACACTGAGCACAGTTGAAGTTGCATGATGATTATGTCGCCCAATGCAGTTCTGAATCCCCTTTCTAGCCCAATCTCCATGACCATGGGTAAGGCCATCAATAAACCAAGCTGGACGGCAGATTGAGATGCCATAGCAACCTTCAGAGGATTATTTCCTCTCATCAATGCCTGCTTCATAATGGCATCCTCAAGCCCACTTAATGATAGGTAAAGTTTGCCATAGAGGAAAAGGTAGACTATGATAACAACCATCTGCATGTTCATGCGGAATAATTTAGAAAATACACAAATATATAAACTAAGGCAGGCAGCCTTTTTGTAATCATAGCAATGAATGGTATGATGAAATCAATAAATGTTCATTTCAAATAATTCCATTGGTATTTTAACCATAAATAAATCTAGTTTTTAGTCATCCTCTTGTGGTTCATGTTCTAGACTTGGCAATGATGATCACATTATATTTTTCTTCTAAAATGATAGAATTTCCTGTTGTTTCCCTAATTTTTTCTAGGCAAAAAGGCAGAAGAGGACTAGAAGTTACCATTGAGCTGACATAGAACCCTATAGTCGTGAAGTAGCAAGAAAGCATGCGGAAGAAGTCAAACCGGTGGCCCAAGCGATAGATATCTCTGCTAAGTATTTGTTCCCCATTGCCACATGCAACCTTTGCTTCAAACAGGGAGATTTGGTTGAGTCCCACGTCACGGCCCTTCCCAACCTGAATATACTCATGATGGGTGATATTTCCTTGCCTTAAAGTCGAGTTGAATCCTGAAAATGAATATGTGCTTTTGCAATTAGTGATTTGCAAAGGATTATTTTAGTTAAACAAATAAGAGTGACAAATATTTACCTGCAAAGATATCCTCACTCAGATTGATTCCACGAGAAGCTTTGCTTATGCCACCTCTAGTGATGTGAAAAATTCTGTCAAATACATCTGGATGTCCATAGTGGAAGCGGACCCTGAGCAGATATGAACAGGATGTTCACATTAATCATGACCTGAGCTACAGTCAATTTATGGCTTACTTTCTAATGTGATTGTTATCCCAATATTTTTTATTACCAAATTGCATATCTATGTTTTGATGATTCACAAAGCCATATTCTTTAATATCTATGCATCCATTTAAATTTGAAGAATTTTCACTGGCAGCAGATCAAAAGTAAATCATTACAAGGAAGAAACTCACTTTAGTGGAGTAGCAAGAACCCTTTGTCCAATTGTTACAAAAGTTGTTTCTTGGTTTGACATGAACCATCCCAAAGATGAAACACTGTAATTAGGTAGAATCACTAATTAAGTCGTTTGCTTAAATCTTTATGCCAGACAATATTAAGGTATTGAAGCTAATATTGCTTTACCTTCCTGTAAAAATGTGCTCACGTACACCAAGAATGGTTGGTGGGCGCAATCCATGGTCTTCATTGAATTCCTCTAAAAGATTCCTCATTTTTAAAGCCTCTTCCAAATAGTTATCCTTAAGCAGTTTGAGATACTAGTTAGAATCTATGTGAGGCCACAACTACAATATAAATGAGCAATTTAAGTAAAAAAAACCTGGTTCATATCAATTGCCTGAAGAGCCTCCCCTCTCGTAAAGACAACTGCATGGTTTTGATTTTCTGGCTTACCTTCACCAATCTTTGCTGCTCCAGGTAATTTGATGCGGTAGATTTCCTATTTTTAAGAAATGTTAGAACAGCTTACCATAGATCTAGTTTTGTGCATTTGTTTTAGTAATTACCTGATCACGATTATCAACTGCCTTTATTAGCACAGAATAGTAGACCTTCTTTACCTTGCCACCTTCTCGTTCTTCAACTTCATCAATATATGCTACACGGAGTGATGGAAAACTGAATTTATAGCATAATTATTAGTTTCCAGATGTTACTAAATGATACAAGGAGCGTAGATTTATAATACGAGCATTAGTTTCTATAAGTTACTAATTTAGAAACAATGGAAAATTATAAGGCATATTTCAATTATAAGGTGATGGAAAATTCTATTTGATATCTGGGAGATGGAATAATGAACCTACTTGACCATCAGGTTCAGGATATCTGTTGCACGGCGATCGCCAGATTGTTTCTGATTGCCATAAATTTGACAAGTTGCAACAAATGTGAATTTCATATCTGCTATTGCCTCTAGTTGTGCAGAAAGAGATCTCTGGCTCCTCTTTCCTTCTTCCTCTGGCTCAGTCACTGCTTTGTATCCTTCCAAAATTTCTGTTTGATATAGAAAGATCAGTGTCCCTGAAAAGAACATTTCTCATCCACAAGAAACATGTCAGCTATTTTTCTTACCACTTTCAGAAGCCATGTCTAGAAAAGCTTGAAGCTTAAGTGCTCTTTGGTAATACATCATTCCTCTAACTGTAACAGCATAAACACTATGATCAGAACCTAAGTAATATGATTTTCTGAAGTATTTAGATAACCAACTAAGCACCTGTTCTGCAAAGTGTTTGGCCTCTCAGAGATGCCCAATGACGAAGTTGCAAGATATTTTCTTCATTAGCCCAAACATCACTCTCCTTTTTACAGTCTATTCGCTCCATGAAATTGTTCCATTCATCTATAGAAATAGATGGATTGGTCACATCAACGAAGTTAGCAGTGAGGAATGAAACCTAAAAAAATTTTAATATTAATAACCAGTAGATTACAATTAAACTCAACAATTTTACCTGGAAAGATCTTTTGTAGGTAAAATATGATGGATACACCATCTTCATTCTCCAGATCAAGGTCACTCTTAGAATATACAGTCTCCTCACTGTAGTATGGTGTCATGACACTGCCAACACCATGTCATATAGTTATTGACCACAAGAAAAGAATGGTATTTGAAATCTTGATGTTTAACAAATTTTTTTGACAGCATAATACTAAAACAGGCATCATTCATGTAAGTAATGAATCTTGCATCATTAACGTGATACTTTCTAATAAAGTCGAACCATTATAAAAAAAGATGTTCAAACAAATAGAACCAGTGCTGTTAAGTAGAGATGGTGCACAAAACCCAAATTCTTCTATTTCAACTAAGCAGTAGAAAATAATGGGATGTTTTTAAAATGAATAATAGCTCTTAAGAAAGAAATTTGTGTAGGAACTAACTTCCCACCACCACTCCTCTCCCTATATCCATTTAGGCATTGTTTCATTAAATAGGCATGCAAATGCAGTAATGAAAAATACATGAACGAATAGAACTATGTATGTTGTATATCCGTTTATGCACATGCGAACACCACAAAATATGCTGTAGGGAATTGAAGTTTCTTTATAATCATCGGATGTCATGGTTTCCGCAACAATGAGCTTACAGCTAACAGACAAAAAACCCAAGTACAAAAGGTGCCTACAGAAATTTTTGTTTTACTCTGCAAAGTGAATTTAATTCCTACAAGAACTATTATGATATGCATCATATGCTCCATAATGCAATTGGTAACCTGCAGGGAACATCGAAACAAACCTAAATGACAGCATTTTGCGTACTCGAGGTGCCCGTGGCATATCCATAAATAAAGAGTTGGTGAAAAATGCTATTCTTCTACGAGCTTCAAGATTTGTAGGCACATCTATGGCAGATTCTTTCACTGTCAAGAGGAGATATAGGCGCTTGATCTACAAAGACATGAATACAAGTAATCAGTTGCTTCACTTCTGAAAATTGAAATTGTTTCCGAATGATACCAACCTGTTCTTCCCATTGCGCTGTAGTCATTGGAGGGAGCAATATAGCAGACTTCGAACCTGTACCAGCAAAAAGTTGCCGTCGAGGGACTGACTCCTTGTTGCCATGGCCAAGCTCGACCAATTCGCTGATCACAGCATATGAGAATAGTCAAGAGAATAATACGCTACATGTAACAAAAAAATTTGAGTCTTAAAGATTCAAGAATTCAATAAGTTATCTTTCACAAACCGAATTTCATTGACCATCATATCACGCGTAACAACTTCTAGCATGTCTTGCAACAACAGCACCACACTATCACGCTTAGATGCATCACCTTCTTTCTATAATATAGAAAGCACAAATGGTCAAATATTTCATACCATCATGATGGGAAATAGGGGTGGAACTAACCTCTCTTTTGAGGTGGACAAAATAAAATTGTGTAATTTATAATTTTATATATGAAATAGAAAAATAAATTTTTTTCTTAGAATTTAAAGGCAATTGCATTTATTGAAGGCAGACAAAATAGTTAAAATGTTTATTCTACTAAGAAAAAAAAAACCGGGATGGACAATTGCCCACCCTAAACTCTCCCTGTTCCATCCCTGGGAATCTACATGCAAGCATGAGTACTTCAAAACAATCAACAAGCATATGAGAACTTGGAATGTGCTTAAATAATCTTCCAATATCTTCTGAGATATTATTGTTGCCTCTAAACAGAAATTATAAACATTAACTCACCAAGATGCCAACAAGCTCAACAATCTTCTTACATAGTGTTGGTAGGGCACTCATCCGAAAATTGGCTAGAAATGATCCTTTTGCAATGCTAGCTTCAATCTCCTTGATTATAATGCCAATTATCCTGCCAAAACAATTTGTTAAAAACACACGTTGAGAATAATCAACAAAGTTAGTTAATGCTAACCTCTACCGAATCATATAGTATAGAAATAACACATAAAGATGGAGCAAAAAACAAACCAGATAAGTAGGATAAGATTCATTGCTATTGAAAAATAACATTTACAATAAAGATAAGGTAGATTTGGATGATTTTTAAGCAGGACAAGGACAAATATATCATGTTACCAAGAACTGATGACTATATTCTGTATCCTTGTAACATGGTGATAAATCCATGTTCAGTAGAATAATTGGAAAGTGAACCACTTGACTTTATGTTAGATATTTAGAATTGTGGTAATTATGTATTTTGCAAAAGAATAATCGTTAAATCTACAATAAAAAAATTGAAGAATTTTGAAGTACCGATTTTCATGGATCTACTGGGCAGAACAGCAACCTCAAAGAAGGGAAAATTCACAAAAGAAGTGGAGATGAAGTACTGGCAGTAACAAGCTAACCATATTGCAGCATAACCATATAAAGATATGCATGTGCATCTGAGAGAGTTATAATGAAATATCAACAATTTGTTGCAGTAAGCGTCTTAATAAACGCCACCTAAACTATTGGGTGCACAAAGAAGAAAAGAAATGGCGATTGAAATTTCTAGTTCATGAGGAGTTGATGTGAGCTTATAGAAGAGCACAGGTCCTTGGATGAAATACTTAAACTTTGAGTTAAAGTACCCAAAAAAAAAAGGTGAAATAATCATTTTCTTCAGATCCCTAGAGTAATCTTCACAAATGCAAATGATTTCCAGAGTTCGAGATCATTTACAAAAAAGTTTTACACCATACCTTTTCTCATTTTCACCAATTATCAAAAGGTTGAGCACAAGCTTGAAAGATTCATAACATTCAAGCACAGCACATTTCATGTACTCATCAGCACATATTCGTTTCCATAGATCAGAATCCTTTGACCTAAATTCGGCTGCCATATCTAATGCAATTGGAATCTGCATAAATTAAAAAAGGATTAACAACTCCAATATATTTAACATTTTTCAGAAAAATCCTACAAACGATTATTGACAAAAACCTTGCTAGCAAGCAAGAATGGCGGCCACTGTATCATCTTGAGGCTGGGATCTGATGAATATGGAACTAGCAAAAGGTCCATCTCCCTGAATCATTACAATAAGCGATATGTTAAGCACGTGGAGCTTAAATTTCTTCTAGATAAAATCTTCTTAAGAAATGATTAAATCATTTTATGATATATAGATATATTTGAAGATCTTGTATTAATTAAAATATTTTGAAGAGATCTTATATAAACTTTGAGAAATCTTATGAAAATAAAGTGAGTTGGGAAAGGGGTTGTCGCTTAGAAAACAAAAGAAGATTTTTTTTTGTGCTTGCAGGAGGGAAGACTTCCGCTTCAGGATGAAGGTGTTGTTGGTTTCGGTTCCATCAAGAGATGAAATGTTCAGCTATAGTTGGGGATATTTGGACTCTTATAGTAGAGAAAGGAAGAGAGTAGCAACAACAAAAACACTTTTTTCTCCACGACCAGCCATCATCTTCATGGCAGGTTATTGCGTTGTTTCTCGATGAATGATATGGGCGAAGTGTTATCTCTGTTATTATCTTCAGCTTTATATGAAGCATTATCTGAATTATTCAATTTCTGTGCAATCGTGAGCAGAAATGAATTTCACTAACTAATGTAAACTTATATGACGTGTGTTTTTGTGATCTTTGTTGTGTTTGTTCTCCCATATTCATTTGATGTTTGCTTAAATACTTTTTACTATCTTAGCAATTGATATTAAAGTTTTGTTCTAGAAAGCTTACAGATTTTTGCATAGAAGATAATAAGATCAACATCAACAAGTTTGTGGCAAGTACTTCAAGTTCTGTAAGGTGTACATAAAGGACTAACTAAACTAGAGAAAGTTTCATCGAATACTGAAGGGAGGGAGTAAAGCCACAATTTGTCAATTAGGAAGAGTGGAATTTAATAGATAAACAAGCTTTGTGAATATTGTATTTTAGCAAAAGGGGATATATATCACACAATTTTAATGTATTTACATGTCTAACACCTAAATTTTGATATTTAATTATTTTGACCCATAAAATCTTAAAATCTCAAACCACGAGAAAATAGAGTGAAAAGAGAAAAATAGGATGAAAGCGGATAAACAAGAAGAATAAATTGAAAAGTCTTTCAGGTGCTAGGATAGTAGGATGGAAGTCTATTGCATCTTCAAGATATAGATGCTGCTGATTTCAATTTCATCAAGACAAGCTTTTAACCATAGTAGAAGAAGCTCATATTTGGACTCTTATAGCCAAAAAAGGGGGAAAAAAAAAAGAAAGCAACAACAAAATATCTTCCTCTCTAACTCCATCACTAAATGTTTGCAACAACTAACTGCGTTCTCTCTCAATTGCTAACATAGACAAAGTAATATCTTTGTTTTTACCTCCAACATATTATTAAGTGTAATATCTCAAGTATCCCTTTTGAAATTTAGTGGATTATTCAATATTTGAATGGTCATAAACATAAATATATTTCACTGAACACCACAAACTTCTGTCATGTGTTTTTATGATCTTTGTTGTGTTAGTTCTATCATATTCGTTTGATTTTTACTCAAATTTTTATTACTATCCTAACAAGGTTATTGCATGATAATTAACAACAGAGAAAGCGAAAAGTAATTTAATATCCTATTAAATGTTTTCCAATAGTTTTATCAGAAGCCTTTCCTGTCACTTATAAGATCTTCTTCTCGAAAACTACATATGATTTCATTCCA